CCTTGGAGCAACCCCCTTGAAGGGTGCATGTTACAGATTGGCATTTAATAAAAAAAGAATGTATGAATGTAAAATTCAGTTCCTTGACTTGTTTCCTCTGGGAGCTATACTTCCTTGTAATAGGAGTGTGGACCAAAGAGGATTTGCAAAGTGCCCAACACATTAACCCTTTGAGGGTCGACAGGCCCTCTCCGAGACTTGTTCTCAGGGTCGGCCAAATTTCCAAAAAAAATAAATAAATTATTTTTTCTTATGAAAAGATAGAGAATCTTTTCCCGATCATAATTACACCAGAGTATGAAATTTGATGGAAAACTTATGGAATTATGCTCTCGCGAAGTTAGCCGTCTCAATTTTGTTTACGCATCAGCGATTTTGCCCACTTTTAGCTCTATTTTTGGCCAATTCCAATGTACTAGTCGACAAAAATCATAACTATTTCGCTAGAACTCTATTTTTTGTATTGAATGAGTACAATAAACCACCCATTTACCAATTTCAACTATTCAACAAAGTGGTCAGAATTTAGCAATTTTGCCAATTTCACACAAATTTCAAAAGATGCCAATTTCCAAATAGGGTCCAGAATAAACAAGAAAGACATTCCTGGCACTAAAATAACAAGTTCTCTGTTCGTTAGTCACATCCCCAGGCCCCTCTTATATTTCTTTGGATTTCCACTTTTTATTCTTACAAAAAATAGAAGATTTACTGTTATGCAGACTACTGCATTAGTGTAAAAATGGTATAAATAATATCAGCGCACTTGTGAAAGAATATTAGACTCATCAGTTGACGTGTATTGGACGCTTGGCATGATTTGTTTACTTTTGAACATTGGTAAAAATCGAACATTTCTGCTATGAGCTCAATTTCAAGGTACTTTTCATTGTAAAACCAGTCAAAATCATCTCAATTTCTGTAATATGTCATCCATTCTATAAAATGAGACCAAGAAAACTAGAATACAACAATAAATATCATACGAAAGTACAGTGCAAAGCCGCTGTTTTATTCCAAAAACACGGTCAAAGTTTTTTTTTTCTCATTATGCACTGTGTGTTGCAGGAATTTTTTTATACTGCGCACACTGACCACATAGACCCATTCTTTCATATGTAGGCCTACCAGCTTTCTCCCACTAGATTTGAGGGCGCTAGAATTTAGGCGTACTAGTACGTCAAAAACCCTGGGTCGTAAGCCGTACTAGTACGGCCGAAACCCTCAAAGGGTTAAATAAGAATTCTGTTGGAGCTAGTTTTTTTTTTTTTTTTAATCAGACCAGCTCCATTTTACGTTAAGAAATAAAAACTACGGTATGTTTAAAGTAAGGATGTTAGGTAAGACTAAAGATTATATCAGTAAAACATGTAATGGGCACAATAGGAAACCAGATAAAAAAATAAAACAAAAAAGAATACAGGCAATAGAAAAAGATACAGAATGTGATAAAAACTAACTACATAAACTGCCTTTATGCAACATAAGTGGTGACAAATCATTTTGTCCTGACAGATGGTAAAGTGTGATCCCCGCCATGGGAAATACATGGCATGCTGTCTACTCTACCGAGGAGATGTGGTTCCCAAAGATGTTAATGCTGCCATTGCCACCATCAAGACAAAGCGGTCTATCCAGTTTGTAGATTGGTGTCCTACTGGCTTCAAGGTAAGGTTATGCCCCCAAAATTTACTTTATTATTTATAAACTTTTTGTTATTTTGTACATCTAGATTGGGAAGGTGCATGAGGAAGTGGGTGAATAGGATAGGGTAAAACAGCTAGAACAGATGGATTTAAAAGAGATGTTAAAACTATGGATGGGACAATAACACAATTTTTAGCAATACCATAAAAGTTATTAAATGCCCACTGATACCATCAAAATTAGCCAATACTCACCAATACTGACTTTAAAATGCTACTAGCTAAAAGCAGGTGGGGATATAGTTTAGGAATGATTTGTAGAATGAGAAAAAGTTAGCATATAGAGAGATTTTGTAGTATAAAAATTTGATAGAAGGTAAAGTATAAATGATTCTGAGAATGGGCAAATCTAAATTGATCAGCAAATTTTTCTGAGAATAAACTTTGGGAGAAAGATTAATAGATGAAGAAGCCTAGAGAGCAAATAGACTTAGTTTACAACAAAAGAGGGGAGGTAGAGGTACCGTAAGATGTAGAGGATATTTTGACATTATTGAAAGTTAGTGATGAAGGGGAGCAGGGAACAGGGACGTATACCATTATATAGGTGTGATGTGGAACCTGAGCCTTTGCGTGGAGTAGGCTGTATAATCCTCCGGGTTTAGTGCTTCCCCTTGATTATAATAATAATAATTTGCATGGAGTAGAATGAAGGAGTAAAGAAGCCGGGATAGATGCAGTTACATGTTGAAAACAGGTTGGTATGTATATGTTGGAGTGGTTGGTGTATTTATTCAGTATATGGATGAAAGAAGGGAAGTTACCAGAGGATTGGCAGAGAGTATGCATAGTTCCATTGTATAAAGTAAAAGGAGACAAGAGAGAAAGTAAGAATTATAGGGTGATAAAACATTTTGAGTATACCAGGTTGTTATTATTGAAAGAGTTAGGTGTAAGACAAACTAGGATGGCAGAAGAGCAAGGAAAATTTAGGATGGGTAGGGGATGTGTAGACTAAGTGTTTACAATGTTGTATACAGGCATAGAGAAGCTATGCAGGAGGTAGTTTACTAAAAGCAGTTAAGTTTTTATGCAGAGTGAGACTTTTTGGGAAATTTTGAAGGCAAATTGGGAATGTTGATGGATGAATTTGGAAAGGTATGTAAAAAGAAGGAAATTAAGTGAACATAGCAAAGGGCAAGGTGATGAGGGTAACAAAAAATCTAGGTAATGAGAGATTAAATATCAGATTGGAGGGAATATAGAGGTGGGAGATGGCCAACATATTTAAAAAAAATTATGTATTTGGGAATGGATGGGTTTATGAAAAATGAGGTGAACCATAGAATGGAGGGGGAAAAAGGTGGGTTGTGTGTGTAGGCATATGGAAGAAAATTTTCTATGGAGACAAAAAAGTAAATGTACCAGAGTATAGTAATATCAATACTATTATATAGGTGCAAGGCATGGTTTTTGAATGTTGCAGCAAGGAGGAGGCCAGAACCAATGGAGAAGTCATGTTTGAAAGCATGCTGAGAATTCACTGTAGAAATTAAAAGGCAATATAGGGTTACCAAGGGTATAATTGAGAGGAGGGGTTGTTGAGCATGGAGAAAGATAGGATAACGAAGAGGATGTATAAATCTGATGTGAAATGTGAGAGGGGTAAGGGGGTTGTCCCAGGAATAGTTGGAGGGGTGTAAGAGAGGCTTTGAGTGTTAGGGGCTTGAGCATCCAGCAGGTTGTGTGAGTGTGCTAGATAGGAGTGAATGGAGACAAGAGGTTTTTAATGGACATAGTTTGGGAGTATGAAAAAGATAACTTTTATGAAGGGATTCAACTTGAGGAAACTGGTTAGCAAAACTTGACTCGTGTAGGTGGGATGTACAGTGCCTGCACTCTGGAGGGATAGGTGGGGATGTAGTTCAGAGGGCTGTATGAAATGTCATATCCATGTGATTCTTTTTTGGATCACTCGCCTCAGTGGAGATTGTTCATATACTAAATTTTCTTTAAACCACATTGTTATGTTTCCAGCAAGGAAATACTTTCACCATAATTCATATACATAAATAGAAGTCTCTGAAAAAGTTATTAAGTTTTATCTCAAAAAGTTGTCATTAATGTTTATTTAATTAAAATAATGGTTACTAACTGTTAATTTTAATAATGGCATAGGTGGGCATAAACTATCAGCCTCCCACTGTGGTGCCTGGTGCTGACCTAGCCAAGGTGGCCCGTGCAGTCTGTATGCTCTCCAACACCACTGCCATTGCTGAAGCCTGGGCACGTCTCGACCACAAGTTTGACTTGATGTATGCAAAGAGAGCTTTTGTTCACTGGTATGTGGGCGAGGGCATGGAAGAGGGCGAGTTCTCAGAGGCCCGTGAGGACTTGGCCGCTTTGGAAAAGGATTACGAAGAAGTGGCAATTGACAGTGTTTTAGAAGGGGAGGATGAGGGTGAAGAGGAAATGTAAATCTTAAAGCATGGGCTTGGCTGTCTCCACTGTTGTCAGCACAGTTATACGTCTAGCGGCTAACATGTTAAGGTGTCTGTATTAAGCTTGTTGTTGGTCGCTTTTCTTAGATTCTTAGCACGCTGTCATTGTCAGGTTCTCTGGACAGTGGAGAGGTCAACTCAGGTTGCTGGTGGGTATCTGGTATTGCTCTGGAGCCTTTGGTATGACTGTGGGCTCAGTGTTGTTCGAAAGATCATCAGTGTTGCTACGAAGACCTTACATTTGGAGTGGCTTAAAAAAATATTCAAGTGACTAAGGCTTCTTGGTATTCTGCCGACACCAGTGTCTGTGTTGATCAAAGTGGTTCACTCTGCTAGCCGACATTCCATACATTATCAATGGCATGGTAAACATCACTCTGCCAGGTGTTTAGGACTGCCCAAGTGCTCCTGCAGATTATTTTGGTTCAGCTCTAAAGGCTTGTTCCTCATCTTGCTGTTTAAATATGTTTTGCTACTTTTTTAAGGTGAAAAAGGAAAAGGCTCACTGAAGAACACCAATAAAAGCACTTATAAAAGCACTTAACTCTTGTTTTACTGCCACCTCACAGGTTACTAGGTTATAAATTGTATTATATATTTATGATCTATAGGGATCACACAGCACCTGGGGAAATATAAAGCATTCAGGCTTGATTGAAGGAATTGGAGCATTGGTCCAATTCCTTAGATCAAGAGCCCCTCACTAGCATCAAGGAACCTTCCTTAAAAGTAGTTATTATTACAGATTATTTTACTAATTCCCAAAGCTTCATGTAACAATTTTTTGTTGAAAGGCCTATTGTTCTATATGTATCCAATCACAAATTATCAAAATAAAGGAAAGAAAAAACAATTGTAATATTATATAAAAGTTTTAAAATTCAAACAACAATTAGAATATAAAACACTACTATTATCTTTGTTACAATGACAAATGATGTACACTCAATCACAAAACTATTTCAGGGAACGAGAAGTTTTATAAAGGTTTTCTATCTGGACAAAAAAAAAATATGCGAGGAGAGACGAGAAAAGTGTCATTATAAGGGTCCCAAAAGGATCAATATTTGTGATAATCCCTTATGGGATTATCATGACAATGATTGATTATAATACTCCTGATAATGTTTCTGATTTATACATAAAACTTGTTAGAAGGTATTGTCCATAAAAACAATGTTTGCAGATGTAAAGATCTTGAGGAAAATATGCAATTACTATAAATGCCTATGAGAAGACAAATTTAACAAATTAAGTAAATACTATAAATGCCTATGAGAAGACAAATTTAACAAATTAAGTAAAACGAATAAGGGAATTAAATGTAGATAATATCAAGTAATGGAAATGGAAAGAGTAAAAACAGGCAACATGAGAAATGATTGTGCCGAGTACTGAACCCTCAAAAGGATCTAGGAATCAGTGTGGATAAAATGTTAATGGAAGATGCAAATGAATTGTACACACCTCTGTACTACAATGGCAAATTTTAAAATAGCAGGGATGGGAAAATGCTAAAAAACAATTTTTACACTGTACTTTAGGTAAAAATTAAAATAGTACGCAGTGCTGCAAATGTCTGCACCTAAAACATAGCCAAGATAAAGTTCAGAGCTGAAAATGGCACTCAGAACTAGATCTTAACAAGTTAAAACTAAAAAACCTAATCACTGTACAGAACTGTTCTGTTTTAGATCAGGATCATTTGTATATCAAACCTACTATACTAAGGTTCTTTTGAGTTACAGAAGTCTTGAAACAAAGTAATGAATGAGCAGACTGCATATATTTTGATTTCTAAAAATGCCTTTGATATTCCCTCAAGAATAACTAAGTAAATAGAAAACTATTACAATGAATGAGATTGTCAAAAATGAAAATAGTGATTAGAAAAACAAGGATTAGTACCAATTCAAAAATAATTCTAATTTACATAAATTACATATCAGAAGTAAAAACCATATGGAAATTAGACAGTATTGTATACCATTCGTGTACAATAACTATATGAACATGTATGCAGATGTAGAAATTAAGTGCAAAATGGTGTAAAACTTCAGGTCTCTACCAGAAGATATAAATAAGCTGAACAAGTAGTGGACCCTTGAATTTCATCATCCGTTTTCTGAATGTAAAACTATAGTTATTCTCTATAAAATGTATTTTTTGTTAATATTTTTGGGTGTCTGGAATGGACTAATTGGATTTACATTATTTCTTATGGGAAATATTAACAAAAAATACATCTTATAGAGAATAAGTATAGTTTTACATACAGGAAAGGGATGAGGAAATTCGAGGGTCCACTGTAACTGCCAAATAATGGCAATGAAAAAAAAATTATATGAGGAATATATATAGTGTAAAAAGATATTTAAAGTTCTGAGTAACTTTAAGTAAGAGATTGTCACCAGATTGCACAGTTAATTTTAATTCATATGCTATACAGCCTCTCCTCACTTAGCAATGTATTCAAACTTATGACCAGCTCTCCAACCAGTATACAAACCTAAGTAATGTATATTAGAGCTGATTTCCTCTATTCTGTTTATTACAGTATCCAGTACACTACCGTATAAACATCTAAAAATGTTATAAACAGTGCAAAGGTGACATTAAAAAACATCTAAAGATGGGTGACAAACCTACATTAAAAAATATCTAAAGATGGGTGACAAATCCACTACTGACCTACACTTAGGAACAGAACCCTGTCAAGTGAGGAGAGGCTGTACTGCCAAACTTCAAAATAGCTTTCAGATACAGCATATGACTGGTGAAATTCAAAATCACAAACACAGGTCTATTCCTGTAGCTACAAATAGGTAATCACAAACAAATAATCTCTCATATGCACTTCAAAAAACACAACATAATAATCTTTGGTTAGGATATACTGAAAAAAACTCAATTACCATGATTGCACATAATGCTAACAATTCCATTAATAAAATGTTCTGCTTGTAGATGTTTAACTTCATACTTAACCATCTAGAGAACTTCTGTAGGACCCAATTAGTGGTATAGTGTTTGTTAAAATGAATCTTGACTGACTGAATACTGATTCAACAAAATTAATTTCTTTGCATGTGATCAATCTTACCAACTGTATACTGTATTCAAATTGATAGGAAATTCAAAGACATCGATATAGTAGGTTAGAGCAAATACATTCACAATTTAAAAAAAAAAAAAAAAAAAAAAAAAAAAAACTTGAAATGCTGTGGTGAAAACAACAGTGAAATGTGTAAATTAGTATATTCAATGGGTCTGAGTATAAAAAAAATCAATAACCAGTGAGTCATTAATTTTTTTTATGTCAGTGCAATGTACAGTGATGTATACTGAAAACTACAACAAACTTCAAAATGCTGTAAAAAACTTAAGTAATGGCATTCTTTAAGACTTGAAAATTTCTCTAAAGCAATGAAAATAACTAATTGCTCTATAGATTTTTTATATTTGTACACTTAGCTACCATATAATGTTCAACACTATACCCTGTCTTGTTTCGAGCACCATACAGTCAGGGTATCTTTATTATGAGCCGCTGATCTTCCACCACAATACCTGATTTTCAGTCATACAGATCATCAAGAAATGTATCCAATGACTGTATTATCAATATTGCTTATCTGTGATATTAATCATAATACAACTTTCTTTATCAGGTTAACTACTCTTGACTGTCATCTGAAGAATTTTCAGGAACTTCCCCACAAGGTTCCTTGATGCCACTGAGGGCTCTTGATCCAAGAAATAGGATTTGTCCTCCCCTTCCTTAGATCATATGAGATTGCCTCCAATTTCCTAGGTACAGTATGAGCCCTACTGGTTCAACGCTTCTCCCTAAATATAATGATACACAAATTTTCAACCATAAAATTGCCTTCCAGTACAGAATGACCAATGAGAAGATTAAACCATAATTTAATGAAACTGTATCCCATAAAAATGCTATACATTCCATTTTAATCATAAGTTTATATTAAGAAAATATCTTGACATTATTCATTTTAAGAAAATATGGAAGACCACTAAAATGGAAGTTTGAGATAAGCTACAGCAATTAATTCTATTGATAATATTTAGACAAAAATATGATTATAGAATCTAGAAATTATAACAATGCACCCCTCAAGGGAGTTCTCTGATGCTGGTGAGGGGCTCTTGATCTAGGGAATTGGATCTGTGCTTCGATTCCCTGAACTGAGTCTGAATACCTTCCATTCCCTCCCCCCCACATGCGCTGTATAATCCAATGGGTTTAGTGCTCCCCCATGATTATAATAATAACATAACAATGCACTGTTTCAATGATACTCACTTTGTAATGTTGCTGCACCACCTTGACAGTACTAAGTTGTCATTTACAAAACCTGGTGAAGGTTCTTGATCCAAGGGATTGGCATTCCTTCCCAGGCTCAAAACTAATTACCCTTTCTTCCTGAATCACTATGACCTCTACAAGTTGAGTTCTTCCCCATGACTATAATAATAATAATGTAAATTACAATTTTTATTGTATTATGGTCCCACAATCAAATGACTCAATTAAACAAAAAGTGAAGGAATAATACCTGAGTAAACATCTAAAAACTTGTAGGTCATGAAATGTATTTTTCAGCAAGCCAAATGAAAAATATCAGGTATTCAAATATACAGTAAAACCTCTCATAGCAATTTCGGACAAAAAAAAAAATTGCCAGATAAATGCTATCAGACAGAATGGACAAGTCTGTAATTCTACATTCTGTCCACAATGAAACGTTTGGTTGTCCTCTGAAGTATCGAACCAAGTCTGTTAGCTCTTGAGATTTTCTGGAATGGGCCATAATGGCCAGGTCCAGGACCTGTCTGCTTTCACTGTTCCTGAGCTGTAGGCCACCATCATCAACATTTGTGCTCACTCATGTTATTCAGTCTCATAATTTTTAGTTTCTTAATTTTCTCCAGCCAGTGTGTTGAATATAGCAGTTTATGTGACTTTACTTAATGTTAGCAATGGTAAGTAAAATTACTGTAAATTACATAGAGTACTAAAAATTACTACACAGTACAGTACTATAATGTAGTACTACAGGTTACAATACCCGTATTTTTAGTGTCCGATTGTCTTTGCATCAGCGGACCAAGTCCACCACAGATGCTCCACTCTTTATGATGGCTCGACTTATGATATTTCAACTTCACAACGATGACATGGTGATGCACATTCAGGCATTATCAAACTGATACGATAAACTTGTATTCATTTATTTACTTTTCAATACTAGTACGTATTTAGTTAGTTAATTTACTTATTCAGTGATAGTCATCATTTATTGATTTACAGTAATTATCACATTCATATTTGCCTTACGATATTTTCAACTTACAATGGGTTCATTGGCACGTAACCCCAATTTAAGTCGAGAAGCACCTACTTCAGAAGACGACCGGACAATCATGAAATATTAATTTCATAATTTGGGAATGGTGGACAGTCGGCGTTATTGTACACCTCCCTCACTGTATAATTCTTTAAAACTGCTGCTGTATAGCCCTTGTGGCTTAGCGCTTCTTTTTGATTATAATAATAATTTAAAACTGCTAAATGAACGAAGCTGCACATCCAACCGAACATGTGCTTTTGTCATCCTTGTTTTCTGAGCTTTCTTAGTTTATGTATCTATTTGTGTCTTGTCTGATATTTTTTAAAAATATATAACAGGAAATTTATAACCGAACAACTAACAGACAGTCTGATTCTTAATTTGTGGGACCTCTAAGATTGTAAACCCAATAATAATAATAAAACAATACATATTATTAATAATAATAATAATAATTTTATTTCTACAAGTATACATAAAAGGTATACAGGCCTAGCTGACATCAATGACATACAGTGGAACCCTGAGTTTCGAACTTTCTCCATTCCAGAAGGCTGTTCGAGTGCCATTACTGAACGAATTTATTCCCATAAGGAATAATGTAAATTAGATTAGTCCATTTCAGACCCCCAAATATACACTTAAAAAAGCACTTGCAATAATACACTTACATAACTGGTCGAGTTGGGAGCAGTTCGAAACTCGGGGTTCCACTGTAGTACTATACAGAAAGCAGGTTGATATGCAGAGCATTTCGGACAAATTAGGTCAGTTTTGTCCCAGGATGTGACCCACACCAATCCACTAACACCCAGGTACCCATTTTACTGATGGGAAACAGATAACTGGTGTAAGGAAACGTGCCCACTGTTTCCACCCTTTCTGGGAATCAAACCTGGACCCTCACTGTGTGAAGCGAGAGCTTTAGGGTAGCATTGAAAATTGGGTTGGTCAAATGTTTGTTAGTGGGATGAATTGTAAGGACCTGCCTAGTATGGGCTAACAGGCCTGCTGCAGTGTTCCTCCTTTCTTATGTTCTTATGTTTAGCCACCAGGCCAAGGGGCACCAATGAATTTGGGAGGTTCAATTGTATATATACTATACATATACAGTATACATATACGTATATAGTACAGTAATTAACTCCAATGATCTTGAAATTCAAATGTTTTAATATTTTAACTATTCTACATAGATAAACTATTTTCTGCAAAGATGAAATCTTTGATAAAATGTTACAAAAAATAAATATGACATGCTCAGACCCACCAGTTTTTCATAAAATCTAGAAGAAAATAAATAAAATGAATTCACAAACAAAATTAACCAATTTAAAATCTTGCATACATAAATAAAATATTCAAAACATTAAATATGATATTGATATTTTAATGCAAGCTTTTACTTCTTAGATTTTGCAGCTTCGGTAAATAGTATTTGTAATTATACAGAGTGGCCAGCACACCTCCTTCATTAGTGTACTCCTCCCGGCTGCTGTAATCTATTGGTAAACCATCCAAGGTCGTCATGTTGCCATTGACGGCATTTAGTATGGCATTACCAGCACAAATATCCCATTTCTTGATCATAGTTACATGAATGTAAGCATCGACATCTCCTTCTATGACTGCAAGTGACTTGTATCCTGAAAGAGGAATATAAATAACCATGCATACAAACACATCTCATACCCAAACTTAACTCGTTAAAAAAAAAAAAATATAGGCAAGCAATAATCTGCAGCTGTAGTTTAAATGCAGATTAATCCTTCGAAATGTCAAGGGGTCCATTATGTACAATGATGTCTTCTTTCTGACTTTACAATAATAAATAATTACAATTTACTTCACAAAATATGGAGCAACAAGAAATCTGGATTTGGCTAATACTGAAGTGATTCTCCTGTCACATACCTGCACCACCAGCTGGAATAACCTCAGTTTTGTCCCCAAAAGCAGCCTTGACTTTGTCCTTCACATCTCCAGCATGCGATCGAGACACAATAATTTGCGGAATGTCATCTTTTGGGCCTCCCTGTTTAAATACATAATTCATATATACACCAAGCTTAGAAAACTCCATAATCCATGTTTTTTTCCTTATTAAATAAACAATTCCCACTATCAGAGACCCAAGTGCTATGATGGTTTAATTGTCTGAAATAATTTTGTAAGCTGGGTCAATTATTACAAAGGTCAAATAGCAGCTACCTATTAGCACTAAGACTGTCCTAGAGCTGTAATGTCTATTATAATTATATTTCTATTCAAAATGATTATGTACAGCATGGTTTTTTGTGTTCAAAATAAAATTTTAATAATCTTCATTTTTTTTTTTTGATTGATTACCTATCTTCTCCAGGCAAATGCTTCCATGCTCCTTGAAAGTGCATGAATGAGGTAGCAATGAAATCTGAATTTGAAAACGCAACCACAACTGAACCTCAATTAGGCAACAATTTTTATTGAGATACTGTACCTCCATTAACTAGCATGCATTCGTATCTAGTTTACAGGTCAAACACAAACTAGACCTGATACGGATCAGTTCTGGCAGTATAGGTCAAATGGTTCTTTTCAATCTCCCTCTCTCCCTCTTTGATGCATCTATGAAACATTTTCCCCAGTGCTCACCTGTGCTACAAGTGAGCAGTGTCTATGAGAATTTGTTGTTAGCTGTCTTTCTTCCTCTTATATAATTAATATATATATATATTTTTTTATTTTTTTTTTATTATCACACTGGCCGATTCCCACCAAGGCAGGGTGGCCCGAAAAAGAAAAACTTTCACCATCATTCACTCCATCACTGTCTTGCCAGAAGGGTGCTTTACACTACAGTTTTTAAACTGCAACATTAACACCCCTCCTTCAGAGTGCAGGCACTGTACTTCCCATCTCCAGGACTCTAAGTCCGGCCTGCCGGTTTCCCTGAACCCCTTCATAAATGTTACTTTGCTCACACTCCAACAGCACGTCAAGTATTAAAAACCATTTGTCTCCATTCACTCCTATCAAACACGCTCACGCATGCCTGCTGGAAGTCCAAGCCCCTCGCACACAAAACCTCCTTTACCCCCTCTCTCCAACCTTTCCTAGGCCGACCCCTACCCCGCCTTCCTTCCACTACACACTGATACACTCTTGAAGTCATTCTGTTTCGCTCCATTCTCTCTACATGTCCGAACCACCTCAACAACCTTTCCTCAGCCCTCTGGACAACAGTTTTGGTAATCCCGCACCTCCTCCTAACTTCCAAACTACGAATTCTCTGCATTATATTCACACCACACATTGCTCTCAGACATGACATCTCCACTGCCTCCAGCCTTCTCCTCGCTGCAACATTCATCACCCATGCTTCACACCCATATAAGAGCGTTGGTAAAACTATACTCTCATACATTCCCCTCTTTGCCTCCAAGGACAAAGTTCTTTGTCTCCATAGACTCCTAAGTGCACCACTCACTCTTTTCCCCTCATCAATTCTATGATTCACCTCATCTTTCATAGACCCATCCGCTGACACGTCCACTCCCAAATATCTGAATACATTCACCTCCTCCATACTCTCTCCCTCCAATCTGATATTCAATCTTTCATCACCTAATATTTTTGTTATCCTCATAACCTTACTCTTTCCTGTATTCACCTTTAATTTTCTTCTTTTGCACACCCTACCAAATTCATCCACCAATCTCTGCAACTTCTCTTCAGAATCTCCCAAGAGCAGTGTCATCAGCAAAGAGCAGCTGTGACAACTCCCACTTTGTGTGTGATTCTTTATCTTTTAACTCCACGCCTCTTGCCAAGACCCTCGCATTTACTTCTCTTACAACCCCATCTATAAATATATTAAACAACCACGGTGACATCACACATCCTTGTCTAAGGCCTACTTTTACTGGGAAATAATTTCCCTCTTTCCTACATACTCTAACTTGAGCCTCACTATCCTCGTAAAAACTCTTCACTGCTTTCAGTAACCTACCTCCTACACCATACACTTGCAACATCTGCCACATTGCCCCCCTATCCACCCTGTCATACGCCTTTTCCAAATCCATAAATGCCACAAAGACCTCTTTAGCCTTATCTAAATACTGTTCACTTATATGTTTCACTGTAAACACCTGGTCCACACACCCCCTACATTTCCTAAAGCCTCCTTGTTCATCTGCTATCCTATTCTCCGTCTTACTCTTAATTCTTTCAATAATAACTCTACCATACACTTTACCAGGTATACTCAGCAGACTTATCCCCCTATAATTTTTGCACTCTCTTTTATCCCCTTTGCCTTTATACAAAGGAACTATGCATGCTCTCTGCCAATCCCTAGGTACTTTACCCTCTTCCATACATTTATTAAATAATTGCACCAACCACTCCAAAACTATATCCCCACCTGCTTTTAACATTTCTATCTTTATCCCATCAATCCCGGCTGCCTTACCCCTTTCATTTTACCTACTGCCTCACGAACTTCCCCCACACTCACAACTGGCTCTTCCTCACTCCTACAAGACGTTATTCCTCCTTGTCCTATACATGAAATCACAGCTTCCCTATCTTCATCAACATTTAACAATTCCTCAAAATATTCCCTCCATCTTCCCAATACCTCTAACTTCCCATTTAATAACTCTCCTCTCCTATTTTTAACTGACAAATCCATTTGTTCTCTAGGCTTTCTTAACTTGTTAATCTCACTCCAAAACTTTTTCTTATTTTCAACAAAATTTGTTGATAACATCTCACCCACTCTCTCATTTGCTCTCTTTTTACATTGCTTCACCACTCTCTTAACCTCTCTCTTTTTCTCCATATACTCTTCCCTCCTTGCATCACTTCTACTTTGTAAAAACTTCTCATATGCTAACTTTTTCTCCCTTACTACTCTCTTTACATCATCATTCCACCAATCGCTCCTCTTCCCTCCCGCACCCACTTTCCTGTAACCACAAACTTCTGCCGAACACTAACACTACATTTTTAAACCTACCCCATACCTCTTCGACCCCATTGCCTATGCTCTCATTAGCCCATCTATCCTCCAATAGCTGTTTATATCTTACCCTAACTGCCTCCTCTTTTAGTTTATAAACCTTCACCTCTCTCTTCCCTGATGCTTCTATTCTCCTTGTATCCCATCTACCTTTTACTCTCAGTGTAGCTACAACTAGAAAGTGATCTGATATATCTGTGGCCCCTCTATAAACATGTACATCCTGAAGTCTACTCAACAGTCTTTTATCTACCAATACATAATCCAACAAACTACTGTCATTTCGCCCTACATCATATCTTGTATACTTATTTATCCTCTTTTTCTTAAAATATGTATTACCTATAACTAAACCCCTTTCTATACAAAGTTCAATCAAAGGGCTCCCATTGTCATTTACACCTGGCACCCCAAACTTACCTACCACACACCCTCTCTAAAAGTTTCTCCTACTTTAGCATTCAGGTCCC